ACACACAAACTCTCTCTCTCTCTCTCTCTCACACACACACACACACACACACACACACACACACACACACACACACACACACACACACACACACACAGACACACACACACAGACACAGACACACACACTTAGTTCAAAAGTTTGCAGTTCAAATATTCTGCTGCTTTCCCAAGCCTTTTTACTTTCTTTTCTCATCTTAATACAAATTCATTCACTACTACTTACATCTGATATTGAACTCCTTCAGCCTATTTTCAGCTGCAGAAACCATTCAACTATTACATTATTCAGCTATTTCAGGACATCAAGGCTAGACATGTTGTTGTTTATACCTTTTTTTAAACCTTTTCTTTAAAATATTAAGCTTTTTCTGCATTTTTGTAGCTAAAAGCAGCTACCATTCAGCTAATAAAATATTCAGCTTTTTCTGCATTTTCAGCTAAATTCAGCCACAAATGTTCACAGTTTACAGCATTTGCACGCATTTTCTGCAGGAAATGCATTTTATAGTTCTAGTTGTTGTCCAGGCACCACATGAATGGTGCACAAATATGCAATTTAACAGATAGAAAAATAAAGCATTTATCTGCCTGTGATTCTCCTCGATGCCTCAAAATCTGCTAAAAAGGGATCTTTCTTAGCAGACTTCCACCAAAAGTCATTCAATGAAGCCAGTCGTTGCATAGTAAAACTGTGTGAACACAGGGAGTAAAGCAAGTGTAAGTGGAGAGTTGGTCTTTGTACTGTGAAGGATGTTTAAAATAAACATATTAATCTTCCCCGTCTTTGATTTCTAAAATAAAGAAGGGGAAATCATTCTCAGAGTGAGAGGTGCTGCCGCTGGGCGCTTTTCTTGGTTTATATCATATTTAGTCCGCCACATCCTGTTTCATTTTTAGCCAGGTTTAGTTGTCTAAAGGTCTGTCCATTTTTGTTTTATCTGAGTTAAAGTTGAAGTCTGAGTGGAAATTTTAGGCAAAAAACGCAGGAGAAATGTTGGTCGTCAGATTGATGTCCACCTAGTTTTATATCTAATAAAGCTGTATTTTTTAAACTGCATTTTAGTCTGTTATTTTTTGGCAAAAATATTGATGTTGATAGGGATGCAGTCTGTGTGTGCTGCCTGTAAATCCTGTCATCCCATCTTGTCAAAACGTTTGTTGACATACATAGTCATAGTTTTCTTACCACATGACCCCTGGATGACAATAGAGCAAACTCCAGAACGTGCATCTAATGAAGCAGGCCATAAGAGGGGGAGTCTAGTAAAAAAAACTACTAAGTGGACCTTTGAGCAAAGATTTGTATTTTATACATAACAAGGCCTAACCTGATCTAATACTTTCCTCATTTGCTGTTTTCTGGTATGCAAGACTTATGAATATGAAATGTAGGAAAAGCTGAGATGATCAGAGATAAGTAGTTCACTCGTCATCTAGTTGTTAACAATCATTTCTATACAGATTGTATTGGGCTGTAGAAGTTAGATGGGCACATGTTTAGTACTGAATGTATGGTAACACATCCCTAATAGGTGTGAGAGCTCCTGTCTGCCATCAGGAGCTATTCATGTTGAGGAGAAATACCAGGCAAAAGCCTATTTTAAATGTTGCCTTTACATAAGAGATATTGTGAATGGGGAATAATAGAGTGGTTTATTGTGACATTTGTTTTTTCTTCTGTCTGCTGCATTCTCAGCTTTGGTATAAACACGTTGATCATGGCTCAGTCTCGTGATGGAACAGTATTTGTTTTGTGAAGGTGTGTTACCTTCTCCTGCAGTACCCACCCACTGGTCCCAGCTTGCAGCCCTGTTTGTGGCCTCCTCCTCCTCCCTCCTCTCCTGCTCCGCCCTCTCCTGCTCCTCTCTCTTCATCCTCTCCTCAGCCTTCCTCCTCTCCTCTTCCTCCACCTCCCTGCAGCTGGGGCCGTAGTTCCTGGGCTGGCCCAGTGTGTCCAGGATCTTCTGCATCAGCAGCAGGCAGTCCGGCTCCTCGCTGCTGCTGATCTCTGAGGAGGAGGACAGGAGACACACTTAGGACAGGATTTCAATATCCGGAGGGATAGAAGGGTTAGATGCATGACTTTTTAACCCTAACCCTACAATCATTTTGCACAATCGTTCTGCTATCTGGATCTGGACGCAAAAAAGTCAATCTGCAATTGATTCAGACTATGGAAGCAGTTACTAATTAATCTAAATAAAATATCTTAATTGGTATTAAACCTCTATGTATCATTCTTTAAAAAGTCAAAGAAAGCTCATTCATTGATTTTACAATAGATTGTCAACAAACACTCTTTCCTTCTTTGCGGACTTCTTAAGGCTTAACTTGAATTAATAATACAAAATAATAAATCAATAAAAAAAAAGATTAGAAACTTTGAAACGTTTTCAAGATAAGCGGGAACCCTGCGGCTAAGGCAGATTGACTTTATATTTAACAAATCCAAATGAACATTGATAAGGAAACCACAGTTTGTGGCTCATCTCACTAACTAACACACAACAGGCGTGAGTGATTACCCAGGTACAGAGGGGTGGTGTCCAGCTCATCAAAGTAGTTCCCCACATTTTCATCCTCCATGTTGTTCTCTCTGTGTCTGTCCAGGCGGAGCAGGAAGTGCTCCTGCTCGTAGCTGTGCTCCTGCACCAACCTCTCAGGCAGGTTCATCACCCGCTCCTTAAGGAACACATCCGACACATCCAGACTCAGCACACACTCTGCAGCACACACAAGGAAACCATCTCTCACACACACACACACACACACACATATACACACTGATATCTGTAAAACCCGATAAAGATTCTGCTGTTGCATCTAAACAATACGACATTTAAAAAACTGCTGACTTTGAGATGATGGAACTGTACTTAATAAAATGCAGACTCATTTCTGGTTTCTATAACTCAAATTCCTTCACCACCCTACATTACTGCTGGGGGGGACATAAAGCATATGCAGAGACCTGGCATAATCTTCCTGCTGAATGAAGACATCTGGGATGTTCCGTCTTCTGATTCCTGTTCTTCAGCTACAAAAGAAAGCAAAGGGATGTTTATACAGGTACAACGTGTATTCTGTTTTACTGAGTATGCAGTAGTGCAGTCCGAGCTATGGCTGCGTTCCAAATCCCTCTTTCTTTTTTACTTTTAGTATGTACTGCAGATAGCCGTACAAATGATAATACCATCATAACGTTGCACCTTGACACTTTTGCTGAATGATTCAAGATTTAAACATTGAAAGGGTTTATCGTCATATGCACAATAGCTAAAGCGTAGCTGTTGGCAATGGAAATATGAAGTCCTAGGCATGGCTAACAGTCCAAAAAGCAATAAACTTAGCACATAAAGAAATAACGGTGTGAAATGCAGGAATAAGTCAACTATGAACATTTAAAATACAATAAGATATGCAGGAGGACTTCCTGTTGTTTCTCTCATTATGCACAACAAGTGTCAGTGTCTCACAGTAGAAGAGCTCTTTAGCTTGTTCATATGTCTTTGGAAAGCCATCAAGAACAAAGCCCTGGTTCCTGCACGGGTTGGACATCAGCCTGTCCTTCACCACCTTCACCAGCAGACGGTCCTCCAGAAGACCTGATGGACAAACATTAGCTTAACAGAGAACTGAAACTCACAACAAGCACTGAAAAAGTATGGATTCAGCTGAACCTCATATTGTTATTTGAAACATTTTTATCATAAAATACTGCTTATTGTAGATTTAAAATCTAAGACTGAAACATATGTTGATCTTCTGTCAGTATACCTCTGTTATTCATAAGTTCTTCATTATATTTAGCACATTTCTGTTAAACGTACATCTTGTAAAACTTTACACCTCTCTCACTTTAAATTCTGCTATTCTACACATATGTTCTTTTTCAAAGTAATTTCTCATATTGTTACTGTACTTCCTTTTGTTTGTTGTATATTAATATTTCTTGTAAACATTTCCCTTAATTTTTTGAATGTATGTAATTGTAATGAATAAATAATTAACAGAAGTGGGAAGTAGTGGAGTACAAATACTAAATACTGTACATAAGTACATTTTACTTTACTCCACTCCTTATTTTTCTGACGACTTTTTACTTTGACTTCTTACATTTTGAACACAAATATCCGTACTTTCTACTTCTTACATTCTGAA